TTTCCTCTTTAATAAAAATATACAGCAGACAATACAGATGAGTAATGGCAGCCATATTGGCACACCAATATGTCCTTCTTTTGCTAGAAAAACTGTTCAACCAGCGAGGGTGTACTTGCAGTCTGAATATCAATTTAGGTTCTTGCACACTCTTGCACAAGAACAAAAAGGTTTCTTTGGTTTTCTTAGTATTGAGATTCTAAATTGCAGTCCATCCCCAGATGTAAGCAGTGGTAACTGATCTGTACTCCAACAATGTTTAACAGCAGCACATAACCTCACCAGTTACAACTTTCCTGGGATAGAGAGGACAACTGCCTCATCAGTTCAGGATTCTGTTAGCTTTTCAAGATTAACAAAGGTATTAGGTATCAATGGACCAGAGTGAATATTAAAGCAAACACTGTTCACAGTCTATCAGTAAACAGGTATGTGTTTCCACACTTCTAAAATTATTAGAGGAACATGAAATAACTGTGATTGGAGAAATGGTAATGTTTAAAAAGCACCCTACTTTATAGGACAAAGTTAAACAACTTCCGCACTTGAACAGCTTTAAAAGTAAAAGGAAAACACCTTGGACTGCCACTTACTGTAGGAGTATCCTTAAGAGTTAAGAGTTTCTTAAGAGTTTCCTCATCTATCCCTGTAGTATATCACAGAAAAGCAGTCTACAGAAAATGTGTTTTTTAACCAGTGTATTGCCATTTTCTGTGAGATTTAACACAAAGAAATACTGAAGATTTCAATGTAAAACATTATTGATTTGCTTGGAGGTGTAGTGACCTAAAAAGCCTTCATGATTTATATGAAGACATTAAACAGTGAGAGTGTGTACTCCCATGCTAAGATTCCATGTACATAATCATTAAATGCTAAATGCCATTTCTAAAACACACCTTACAATATGTAAAAGATAATCCAATATACACATAATGCAACACTTTTTCACAACTGTCTGGTTATAGATTCATGGTTAAAAGAAATGTAACAACACAAAACCCTATCAGTTTTGTATTTAATCCACAACATTTTACACCGAGTCTGAAATAAAAATAAACTTTAATTTGCTCAAGTGGATGCTGTCCAAGATGGCACTGTTCAATGGTGACCTCTCGCGTGTAGCTCTCTCGTTTATTGTTTATTTTCGTGTTATGTCTCGTTTTATATTAAAACAATACGTTTGTGACCATCACCTACGACCGATAAACACTCCTGGACCTGAGCCTCGGGTGTAGATTAGGTGGAATTGAAAGTACACGGCTTTTCTTCTCAAGCAGAGGAAACAGGGACACGAATGCAAAAGGAAGCGGCGTGTTAGCGCGCCTACCAGCCCCCGCTCGCCAGCAACGTGTTTGCACGGGTGCAGTCGCTGGACAGTAAGATCGACGAACTTCACTGTCGCACCAACACTCAGCGCGACTGGAGAGACCGCTGCGTCTTCTGTTTCACTGGAACTTGGCCGAAACCCAGCATTCGCGATGCCGCTGGATTCACTCATTACATAGTGGACAGACAGCTGATTCTAACGGCAAGGGGAAAGGAGGTGGAGCGTTTCATGATTAATAACCTTTGGTGCACTGACGTAGAAATTCTCAATAGGTCTTGCTCAACTAATCGGGAATACCTACCATAACATGTCGGCCTTTTTACGTATAGAGGGAACTTACGGCTGTTATTATGACCGTTGTGTACATCCACCAACATGCTAGTACTGAATCCGCACTCAGCGCCATCAGTAAATACGAAACATGCATCCGGAAGCTGTTTCTGTTGTGGCGGGGGACATTAACCGCTGCAGACTTACTGCCAAAATACTTTCAACACGTCTCTGTTCCCACTAGAGGCAATAACACACTGGATCACTGCTACACCACCATTAGAGCATACCGCTCCATTGCACGTCCGCATTTCGGGAAGTCTGACCGCGCCTCCGTTCTCTTCTTCCTGTTTACAAGCAGAAGCTAAATACTGCTCCACCTGCAATTAAAGACCGTGCAGTACTGGTCAGACGCTGCTGAGCAATCACTTCACCGACGGTTTTGAAGTGGCTGACTGGTGTGTTTTCAAAGATGCTTCCAGTGATCTAAATGAGTATACAGAGGTGGTCACATTCTATGCCAACTACTGTGTGGACAGGTGTGTTTCTACCAAGAAGATCCGGATATATCCCAATCATAAGTCCTGGTTGAACAAGAACATAGAACTGTGTCAAACAAATCAAGGTATGACCTGGAGAAAGCTATTAAACTGCCAAAACAGAAGTACAAGGACAAATTAGACAAACAGATTGGTGGGGTGACAAAAGGCGCATGTTGCAAGGCTTACAGGCAATCATGGACTATTAAGGCAACACCAGCAGTATTTCCTCCACTGAAGCATCTCTATCAGATAAGCTGAACACCTTTAACTCCTGTTTTGAGGCTCAGAACACTGAGCCCACTATCAAGACTCCCAGTGAACCTGGGAAATTTGT